ACTAAAAGAAAATAAATTAATAATTTTATTATGTTTATCCTATTAATTTTTATCATTTTATTCCTCTAATTTTAAATAAGTTACAAAAAATTATAAAGTGACACTTAGATATTTCTTCAGATAGAAAGAGAAAAAGAAAAAGTTATTACTCTATTTATAAGGCAATTATATTTTATAAAAATAAGTAATTTTAAAATTTTTACCATAAAAAAATATTTTCAAAATTATTACATTTTTTAATAAAATTAATAAATAATATTCTATTATCAATTTTGGAACGGGCCGTTCTGATTTCAGAACGGGCCGTTCTGGTGTACTCTTGGTGTGTAAATTTTGCATTTGGAACGACCCGTTTCCGATACAAAATTAACACACCAAAAGCGCATCCAGAACGGCCCGTTCTGGTTTCAGAACGGGCCATTCTGGTTCCAGGTGTTTTCAAAAAAAATTTCATCTACGTGGCATCCACCTATGCATCCACGTGGCCAAGAGTTAACTCTGTTAAAGAAATTTGGACGGAAGTCTCACATTGAAACCAATTAATTTATTAGGGACCAAATTGAAACCAGTTAATTAGTTTGGGACCAAATTGAGACAAAAAATAAAAGCGGGACTACATTGAAACAAAAAAAAATTATAAGGGACCAAAATAAGTATTTAACCTTTTTTTTAATAAAATAAACATAATTTTAATTCTTTTATTAATTTTTCATTTTAAAAATCACTTTTCTAAATGTCATTTTTTAATGGATTATATGATAATTTTAAATAATATTTTGACTTAAATACGTTTTTATTTTTTCAAGTATAATAATTATGCAATTTTAATTTTTTAAATTTTAATCGAACAATTTTAATTCATCAAGTCTTATATTTATACAATTTTGATTTCTCAATTTTTAATTAAATAATTTTGTAATTAAATAATTTTAGTTCATAAAATACTATAATTATATATTTTAGTTTCTTAAATATCGTAATTATACAATTCATTACTTATTTAAATTATATATATATATATATATATATTAATAATTTAAGTGATAATTAATATGTATTATTTAATACATGAATAAAAATTATAATATATAAATTTAATAAGTTAAAAATTATATAATTACAATAATTAAAGGGCTAAAATAATATAATTATAATACTTGAAAGATTATAATTAAAATTGCAACTGAAAAATTTGTGATATAACTAACTGAAATAGCATGATCAAATTTGTGATATAACCAACTGAAATAACATGATGAAATCATTAAATCCTCATATAGTAATAGATAAAATTGCATCTGAAAAAATTTATCACCTGCTTATATATTCTACAACTGTAATCATATAATTGATCACGTTTCGAAAAATAAATTCTGAAACACTTACCAATGACAAAAACAAATTCTGGAAACTAATTTATAGTAAAGTTACAAAACCAGAAAAAGCCCAATCCATTAGGACATAGATATTTTGATGGCGTTAAGTGAAAAGATCTAATAATTTTTTTTCGAAAGAAAAAAAACAAATGGATAAACAGAAGTATTTGGGCCATGTAAATAACAACCCATTAAATCATCCACCGAGTGTCCTACTTAAATAAATGAATAAATGATTTTTTTTTCAAGCTCTTGGAATTTTGAAGGGAAAAAGGTCAACGAATGCGAATCCAACAGTAAAACAGGAATATCGTTTTCACCAAAGCCTCGTCTTCTGCTCTCTCTGCACGCCGCTTCCTCTCTTGGTAAGTATTCTCTTCCCCATTCGTCTCAATTTCGCATAACCTCACGTTTTTTTTATCCCTTCCTCTATGCACAGGTAACCACTTATTTTGCCATGTTTCATGCTGAAACGGTGTCTGTTTTTTTTAATTGCCAGGTTTCCAGGCAATAATGGAGTCGGGCGACACCGGTGAGCAATTTAACTTCAATTCTGCAAATTCTTTGTTCTTGTGTCTTGAAGCACTATATACTCGCCGACATTGTTTGAGTTAAAAGTGATTAGATTAGATTAGACTTCGGATGTGCATAGGCTTTGAGGTTCAGGAATCAGGAATGGGAAGGGTAGTGATGGTTTTTTTTTTTGAATTAGTGAAACAGTAGAATTGCATGCAATTGATGGTTATTGTTATGGTTTTAGCTGCAGTTGCTTGACAATTTAAAACAATGTTAGGTACCCATTAGGGAATTGAAACATTGAAGGGGTAGTAATAATTGTAATTCCTTCATTTTAAGTAGTTTTGTTCTTTGGGAGAACTATGGTTTACACCAATAGGTCTGGGAACAGTATGCAATGCGATGTGTTATATTCCCGCCAGTTATGCTTTGGGTTATGAAGTGAGAAGAGGGTGTGAGGAGGGATGCTATGAAGCCTAGATACTTAGTATGACACAGGTACGATATGACACAGATACCGGGATACAACAATTTTTTCAAAATTTAGGATATGATACGTCCTAGATATGTTAATAAAATTTTATAGAAAAAGCAATGTCCCAAATAAAGAATTGTCCTGAATACGATTTGGACACATCTGTGGGTTTCTTGCTTATTTTATCATTCTCTTCCCCCCTATTACCATCATCTAGAAGAAAAACATAGTTTCAAAGTTTGGTTCATTAAAAGACAACTTTGCCAATTAAAGAAGTCTAACACCATCATCAAGTGGATGATGTATATTCTATCAATGTTCCACAACCTAGTCTCTCCTTTTTATGCCCTTCATTTTTCATAGACAAAAGTTGAAGCTTGAAATGCACATAAACCAAATCTTTTACCCTTTTGGATCCATTTTTGTTTTTCTTCAAAGAATGAATAAAGAAGTCTGTACTCCAATTCCTTACACAACATAAAAAAAAATAACTATACAAAAAGCTTAAGGATACTTTTCAGATACATATCTAGAAGTATCTAGGAAGTATCTAAGAAAAAAAGGTTAAAAAATAAATAAAAAGATTGAATACTTTTCAGATACATATCTAGAAGTATCTGAAGAGTATTTGGTATCCGACATGGGTATGACGCTGATACTTTTCCATTTTTGAAGTATCTCAGCTTCATAGGAGGGATGTATTGTCAGTGGTGGTACCAATTGCATTAATCTCTGTGTGTGTGTTTGTTTTACTTAAATCTCACTTCCAATACACACGTAACCGAAAGCTACATTCACAAAGGATTGGCTTTAATGCCAATTCAAGCACACCTTGTATCTGTTTGGAAGGTGGGTATTGGAGAGAAAAGGGAAATAGGATTTTTTTTTTTAAATTAATAGCGTATATAATGTTTATAAGAATAAACAAAAGGGTAGTATGTTAAATTTATGTGAATCTATCATTTCATTTTATTATTTTAAAAGATTATCAAATGAGAGAATATTTATCATAAACGACGCTTTTAGGGGCCATTTAGTTTGAGAAAACGTTTTTTGTTCTCTGTGGTTTCACTTACAATTATACAAAGGACACCTTGTTTGCATTTTGTTTCCTGTTTTCATAAGTTTGTACAGGAAACAGTAAAATCAACTTTTTAGGGGCATTTACTTATGTTTTATTTTCTGTTTTCACTTTTTAATTATAAAGCTGCACCTTGTTTTCAATGTATTTCCTGTTTTCAAATATTTGTACAAGAAACAATGAAGGCAACTTTTTTTTTCTCTCTGTTTCCTGCACAAATATTTAAAAACCGGAAACTAATTAAAGACAAGGTAACAATTTTGTAATTAAAAAGTGAAAACAGAAGATGAAAATAGGAAATGAAAACACAAGGAAATGAGCCCATATTATTCTTTTTACTGTTTCGTATACAAACTTTTGAAAACAGAAAACGAATTGAAAATAAGGTGGCATTTTTGTAATTACAAATGAAGATAGAAAATGTTTTCTTCAACCAAATGGTCAATACAATTCTTCCTTTTACTTTTAAAATGACACTAGCAAGCATCCCTTGATTTTGGGCTTGGTCATACCATTGTGCATGCACAAAGAATGTTTTCTACAATTCTGTTTCCTTTTACCATTGATAGAAAAGACTTTAGTTCAGTAAGATTAAGAATCATTTAATTTTTTTCCTTTCGTTTTCCCTCCTTGTTGATTTTAGTGAGAAACAAGGATCGAAGAACTTACTTTTTTGGGATGCTTCATTCCCCTAACCGTGTTTGTTATTTGTGTTTCAAATATATGGACAAATACTGCATTAATTGTTGAAGCAGTGACTTAATTCTTTATCTGCTATGCCAGACCTTATGAAGATAGCAGAAAAGCTCGAGTCAAAGATATTACCGATGATTAGGTTCACTCCAGAAAATGTCATTGATCTAGACAGACTCTTATGTGATACCTTCATTAGTCAGTGTCCAAAACCAATTGATTATCACAATAGAAGAGATTTGGTTCGCATCTTCAATACGATTACAAAAGAAATATATGGTAATCTTTTGTTCCATTCTTCCTGGAAAAAAATTATACTGAGCAATTGCAATGAAAAGAATGAAAGTTAGCAACATAGCTCACATGATTTTCTATTTCCAATTCTTATACTTGTTGTCGACATAGTTATCAATAGCGTTCTGTAGCTGCATAGCAGTGTGTAATTTCCATTGGCTGCTCTAAAGTTTCCATAGTGATTTGTTTCCAATTAATGGCATTGTGGATGCAGTAGCAGCCTTTTGTGGCACTATAGCAGTGCTAGAGTGAGGTATTTTGCAAACTCACAAGCCCTTGAAACCACATCTCTTTTGGTAAAGAAGCATGTTTTGCATTGGAGTTCAATATTCAACAATGTCAAAGAATTGTTAAATTGATGTTTCTTGCACATTAATTATTTCACATATTACCAATTATTTTTCTGTAACAGATAATTAAAATATAATTGTATTTTATCAATCCCATTTCCCAAAAATAAGAAAATGAAAATAGCCGTGTTTCAAAACTAAAATGACCCTTTAGAACTTTTATCTCTTCTAGTGTAGAATCACTTATCTCGTGTTCTTTTGTTGTTGGTCACTTTGTTTCAATTTCAGTTCATATCTTAGCTTATTCTGTTTAAACAGTTTTTTTTTGTTTAATCTTTTTTATTAGGCAATAGTGATGGCTCCCCTGTTGTGGAAGAGTATGGTTCATTTGTAATGGATATGTTTGACAAAAAAAGTGATCTTGACTTATCTATCACTTTCAACGATTCAAGTGAAGTTTCTCGGAAGAAGAAGATTTCAACACTTCACAAGTTTAATAGGAAATTACTGTTAATTGAAAGTAAGTTTCTTTTCACCAAAAATCATTTTTTTTTGGTCTCATTCTAATCTTTGAGTTTGGAAAATGAATCACGTGGCTTGTATTGTATACCAAACCATTATCGGATAGTGGCAAGGCCAGTATCGCTTGTTAGTATAGAATGTTAGTTATATATTGGAGTCTCAAATATATCTTAGAGGCTCAATGTTGTTAGCAGATGAAATTATTTGAGAAAAGCCAGCAGCTTCTTTAAGATAATAAATATATGAAAGTGGCAAGATTTAGATGTAATATATATATATATATATGTATATATATATGTATATATATATTTGACAACAATGTTATCAACGATAGATGGCGGGAGGCCAGAGTTTTGCCTTAAAAATATGGTGGATGGCCTTGTAGACTATAGTAGAAGCATGGCAGGCAGCTATATTAAAAAACTTATGTATACGTGTAACATGTATACTGGTAATATTTCCATGTTGGATCCAATCAGCTGATAGAACTACACAATTATAATGTTGATTTTATCTAGTAAATACTGCACCAAGACTCATCCAGAGCATAAATCTTGTACAAAATGTCTTACAAGTTACAAGAGACTTTATGCTGAAAACTTCAGAATATTACATGCATGAAAATTTGCCTCCCTACTTGCTAACTTCTATATTAAAATACATCCTAAAAACTGTCATATGTTGCAGTCTACATTCTGAAAATAACTGTTATAATAATAATTACTATAATCCCGGGGCAGTTATTGCACTCTACATTATGAAAGTTACTAACATAATAACTTCGATGCTCCTAACAAATAACTGCCCACGCCTGGAGTAAACTCTTCAAATGGGTGATCTGTTTGAAGTTTGAACTACTATTCTCTGCTTGTCTTTCATTTTCTGCCCATGTCTGATATCCATCAGCAGCAGCCCTTGAAGTCTGTATTTGTGATGATTGTATTTGTAGGTTTTAACTTGTGATTATTACAAACACAGAAAAGTGAAAATCACGGAACTGAGAGGAATAGAGAGAAACATGGAAAGCATAGGAAGTGAGAGAGACTCAAATTAGAAGATTAGGTAGAATCTCAGAGAATATAGAAAAATAGACAGAAAGGAAAAGAAAAGTGAGTAGGAAAAATTTGGGGAAGAGAAGGGAACAAAGAAAAAGGGATTTAGACAGAGTTTACCTGAGAAAAGCAAAAGCATTATTCACCAGAGCAGACTCCTTTGCTGGAGAAAGTGGAAATGTTTGGTCAAATGGTTCTTATTCCACTGTTGGATTTGAGTTTGCAGAAGATGAGAGCATGTTCGGACTTGTGTTTACAATTTGTTTGATGCATGTTGAATGGTCTATGAGCAGTCAGAAAGAAACTATTACTTCTTTTTTTTTTTCTCCCCGCATAAAAGTGGAGTAACTGCCAATTTTCCACCATATCTACTTCCACCACCATAATTGCTATGACAAAAGTGGCTGCTATAGGCATCCATGATAAAACTTCAGTACTATAACCATAAAATGGAATTTTGCTTGAAGCCCATCATACCATAGTACCATAGCTGTAATTTAACAATACTGTATGACAATGTGTTGATAACTTTTTATGTGGTTACCATAAACTAGGGCATAATTAATCTTCATCTTGGTATGAATTGAATACCTGAATTATCAAATTTAATGTGCTAAACACTGGAGATACAACAACAACCAAGCTTTTGTCCTATTAACTACTAAGTGCTGAACGCTGCAATACATGTTTTTCCTGGTGGGTATATGATTTACTTTTATCTCGTGACATGGGGAAATAAATTATTATTTATGATGGAAAATCAAATTTTAAATTTAAAATACAAACAGTGAATCACAGAAAATAGTTGCAAGAGAACAAGAACACAACACTATTAGCAGTATTATTTTATTTGTCCAAGAAGGATTTTGACAGTGATTCCCAAAGCTTAGAGCTCGAATTGAGAAAAATACTCTCAGACCCAGTGTTCACACTACTCTCATCAGAAAAATATTGCCACCCCATCCCGCAACAAACCCACCTTAACAGCTACTGGTCACATGACTAACAAATCTTCTGCCATTATCTCTGAAAAATTAACTTGCCACCTGTACAGCTCCCTTCCTCCTATTATAAACCTTTGGTCCTCTATGTCTCTCCATGTCCTTGACTAGGCATTGTTTCTACTATTTTTAAACCTTAGGCTTGGGCTATTACTTTATAGTATTGACCTGAGTATATAATGTTCATTACAACAGAATGGTTGGTTTTATTTTAATTTATATAAAGGACTTGAGTTAGAAAATATTTGTTTTCACCATCTTTATTATGATCTCAATGAAAATGATCAAGGCATGTTGATATTTTATGAATCTACAGTTTTGTTGATCACATTAGATATATAATGCCAATGATTATGTATTGCAGGACAAGGACATGTTACTGGTTTACAGCCAATCTGGACTGCCAGGGTACCAATTATAAAAGTTACTGATAGTGGAACGGGCATTGAATGTGATTTATCAGTTGATAATAGGGATGGCATTGCTAAATCCCGCATTATCCATGCAATTTCTGCCATAGATGAAAGATTTCGGAAGCTAAGTTTCCTGGTTAGTAGAAGTACTTTTTGTTCGTTTAATGTCATTTTAAAGAATTTATGTATCATGATGCATGTTTTATTTTAATATTCAAGCCTAGGTTGCATACTACTGCTCAGATTTGCCTTTACTTGGGTTAATGTTTTCATTTAAAATGTAAACAAATGTGGAGAATGGAAAATTGCTTGCGATCACAAAATTTTGATAAATTATCACATCCACAGCCACAAGGTAAATGAAGGATTCTTTTTAGTTAATAATTCAACAATAACACTTGATAAGCCTTGTGTGTGGCCATCTGCAATACGATTTTTCATATCTGATGTGAACCTCCCAAGGATGTGCCTTAGAAGAATATGGAATGCATGGCATATTGTTTGGATTAATTGTTTAAATAGATTTATCAGAAAGCTACCAGAATTGACCCTTAGTTTTTATTGGGTTTCATTCATATCATTAAAATCTGATTTTCCCCATTTATTTCTTTGCTGATAGGCTCATTAATAGTGCACTTGGTTTACTCTCTGGTTTATGTGTGAAGCCAACTGTCTAGGATGCTTCTTTTATAATTAATTATTTGTTTAAAGTAGTTTTCATGCTTATGTAATTTCTGGCTATTGTAGATGAAATCCTGGGCAAAAGCACATGATATCAACTCTCCCAAAGATTCAACTTTGAGTTCCTTATCTATTGTATCATTCGTAGCTTTTCATTTGCAGGTATTAAACATTTTAAATATTTTGTTGGTGTACACATCATCTTACAATAGAATTGGATTTGGTTGTGGAATTTTTTTCCTTGAGCTTTGATACTGTTAGGAACCCAGATATGAAACTAGAGAATGGTAATGAAAGATTCTATTTCCTGATTGTAGAAGAACAAACCAAAGGAAATAGTACTCTCCTCCAAGTGTTTCCTCTTCAAAAAGGGTTTATCCTTTCACAGTTAAGCACTTGTTAAATTCCCAAATTCTAACAATGCATAATGAATCTGTTAATAACCAAGAGGTTCCAGAATTGAAAGTATAAGAAGGAAGAGGAATATGTGGCAGAGAAAACAGTGGGTATGTGGGATAGGTTATAATAGTTAGTAGTTGGTTAGTAAGTGGAGTATATAAGTAATGTTACACTCATGAATAAGACATTCTTTAGTTACGTTGTTATAAATTGTTTCACAATTGGAAAGGGAACTCTCCCCTTGGCAGAGAAATTACCATCTGTTATTTCTTTGATTTCTTTTTCTTTCCTTCTTCTTTATCTCTCTATATTCCCTTTCAACCTTTAAGGACCTACCAATTGGTGTGACCGGCTGCTTTTTTTAAGTGAGAGCCACTATGAACAATCTATGGTGGCGAGAATGGATGACATTTGGGGTCTTCGGTGGATTTTCTCAAGAAGTTGTCATCGCAACATACAACCCAACTTGTGCAATTGAAGGAGAACTATTGGAGATCCCACAATGACTAGAGATGAGGCTATAATAGCGTATATAAGTGAAAATCAATCCTTATCTTACAATACATCTTAAGAAAGTGGATTAAAGTTTAACTCAACTTTACAAATCCGACTTGTAAAGTGAAGATTGTTCCCCACTTATATACACTATTATTGCTTCATCTTTAGTTGATGTGTATTGGGAAAAACCCAAGTCCCACATTAACTATAGATAAGACAATTAAAGAATATATAACCCTTACCTTACAAGTTAGTTTTGTAAGGTTGAGTTAGATCCATAACTCACATTCTAAGATGGTATCAAAGCTATTTAGATTCCCTCTAAATGGACCACCCACCATTGATATACGCATCAAACCCAATAGTGCTGGATGTGAGGCGATGTATTGGAAAAAGTTCAAGCCCCAAATCAATATGAGATACAACAATTAAAGAATATATAAGTGGGAGACAACTCTCACCTTACAAGCCGATTTTGTAGGTTGAGTTAGACTCATAACCCACATTTTAAGATGGTATGAGAGCCTATCTAGATTCACTCTAAAAGGATCACTCACCATTGATACACGCAGCAAGTCCAATAGTGTTGGGTGTATTGGAAAAAATCCAAATTCTGCCTATCATAGATTATTAAAAAGGGTCACCCACCATTTATCCATTTACCAAGCTCAATAGTATTGGACGTGAGAGGGTGAATTGGGAAAAATTCAAGTCTTATATCGACTAGAGATAAAATAATTAAAGAATATATAAGTGGGGGACAACTCTCACCTTACAAGTCAATTTTGTAGGATTGAGTTAGATCCATAACCCACATTCTAAGAATTTGAGTTCTCCAACAAGAACCTCACTCACATAGGGGATGTCAAGAAGTTGATTGCGAGATGGATGCAAATGCAAGGAATTGAGTAGGATGCAGTTGACAACGTTTGTGAGGATGATGGAACAGAGCACCCAATCTAGTTAGAAGAAACAAGACGTAGGGCAGCGGTGGATAGATTTTCTGAGAATAGTGATGGAAGTTGCAAAGCTGTCACGAAGGTTGAATTACCCATCTTTGAAGGGCATGACCCAATTGGCTGGATTGCAAGAGCAGTTAAATTTTGAGGTTTTAACAAATTGCTCTTATTGAGAAGCTTCAACTTGTGTTTGTCATTATGGAGGGAGTTGCAGTCCATTGGTTCCACATTTGGGGCCAAAAAGATTCTTGTTCATCATGGGATTCTTTCACCACTATCTTTATTCAAATATTTGATGTTAGAGCAATGGTGAGAATGTGTTTGAAAAAAGATTTGATCGCATTATCACCACTACTTATTTATCACAAAAACCCCCTCTAACTAATTGACTAACTAATTATTATTCTCACTTCCTCTCTCTCTTTATCCTAACAGATAGACAAAATGGATGTCAATTATATTTAATTTGTAGGGAAATGTTTTTGT